GATTTTTTGCAGGTGAAACACATCAACTTGCAACTTCAAGTTGGGAGAATCCACTTTCTTAATGACACCAAGAGCTGGAATTCAACAAGTTTGCATTCAGAGAGAATAACATCACCAAGAAGCATGCGAAACTCATGGTCAGATGACCCACTTACCTGTCTCAAATTCATGAAGGAAATAGTATGGGACACTGGCTTGATTGATTGGCTCAATGAGGCCAGTGATGTTCTCTTCTGAGAAGCGGTTTGTAGCAGCCTTGAGATTCTCCAGGTAGCAGTCATTCATGGCTGCATCATAAAATGTCCTGGGTGCCTTCCCTGCCATGATATGAATCCTAAACAACCAACAGGATGAAAGAGATCAGGGTGATATTCTAAAGAACCAATAGGTAGGGAACAAAGAGTTTGGAGATGACAAAGATACTACTGCTGACAGTAAGTTGAAAGCATCACAGGGTGTATATAATTAAACACAATACAGCAAACATTCATTTGCCAGCCCATAAATTTCATTTAAGCTTCCATGGCTCCAGGGACATATTGGGGTTTTAGTTGGGCACTTCCTTTTAACCTTATGGTGTAATTGGGCATTTCCTAAAAGTTGCACAGCTGAGTACTCATTATTTATGTTTTAATATGACACCTTGTATAGATGAAAACTGATGCCTCAGTTGCAGAGAAACTTGCCTCTCAGACATTAAATGGGCAAGAAGAAGTGAAGCAAGATTGACCCTTGGTGATGTTTGGAGCAAAATGCCACAGTGAAAGTTCAAAAATAACGGGAGAAGCTGAGAGTTTTCAGACAAGGTTACTGAATTTCTACTTCTTATTTACTGCAAAGGCAAAAGGTTGAAAAGCTAAGTATATATTAAAAATTCTCACACTTTAAGGTAGAAGAAAATGAAAATCATGCTGATGGCAATTAGAAAAGTAAAAAATGTTGGCAGAAAACACAGTTCAGTTACTTATAATAAAAGCCCTCTTCTATTTTCTAAAATGTGATGAGAAACATAGCTAGGCAAAAGATCAATTTATAATTGTATGAGTGCACATGTAGGCATGCACACCTTATTCTGTTTTTAAGTGCATGTGGAAGCATGCAAACATTCATGTCATGAATTAAAAAATCATGTCATAAGAAAGAACAGCTAAGAGTAAAAAATTTGATGGACTGAATTAATATGAGATTGAGTTTTGCTCGGGTGAACTGCCCAACCAACCTTGGCCTTTGCAAACTCTTGGCCAATAGATAAAATAGGTATTGGCATTAGCAGGCCCAAACTTTCCATATCACATTTTCCATGAGCAGTCTCAAGCAAAGCCAGACTTTGTATAGGGGACTGCCAGAAACTGTCATTGGTCTACTGGTCATGATTATTTACTTTCTTGTTATTTCACCAAAGGAATTCCAAATCAACAAATTAAGCATAGTTCATGTGCCACATACATTTATTCATGTTGCTATGAAAGGACTCAGCTTCTTCATCATTAAAACAGTCAGCTTACACTCACCTGGAGCAGTTGAGGGCCTTTGCATACTTTATGCTTGTCTCAATGCCACTGAGAAAGCTATCCTCTCTTCCAGGAAGAGCTGCAGTCCCCAATTCATCCTTGCTC